GTAATGGGTTGGGTCGCCGGGAGAAACCGATCGATTCAGCACAAGTCTGGGCGCCGACACTTGTGGCACTTGAATGTACCCTAGACCATGGGCAGCGCCCTGCGGCCCCACAGGCCGCAGAACCCAACGCGTCACAGGGTTCATGCAAGAGCTGACGTCCGATGGTAAATCGGGAGGTAAATCGGGACATACATGGGCAACGCCCTCGCTGGCTGAAGCGACCTAGCGAACACCATGGGCAGCGCCCTTCTCCCCCAGGAAACGCATAACGCAGACACCGGCTGCCTCTCACCCGACGACTTGGGTGATCCTGCATTTTGCTCCAGGGGTGCTCCAGGAAACCCTACCCTCCCCACATCTGCAGGGCAACGTCCTTCCTCCCACCGTGGAACCACCCGCTTCCACACCCTTCCGTCCCCCCCCCCCCCGCCCCACCGCACTGCAGACATTCCGCCACGCGCGCGTGCCACCCGCATGTACATGGCTACGGTCTCTTCCCTCGCTGGCGCGAGAACCTCGCCACCACCTGCCCAAGCTTCCGTTTGCGCTGCTCCGTCCTAGAACCAACACGCCACATGGCGCGGACACGCGCCTGACAGGCATGCGAAAATCTTACCAGAGCCTTTCACGTTACCACGGGCACTGGCCGGACCTCGTCCAGCGCAAAATCTAAACAAAGCCTAGAGCATTCCTAGGAAAATTCCAGGGCATTTGCCGGGAACACTAGAATCAAATAGGTTAACAATAGATTAATCAATTTTTGGGGAAATCTGGGAACCTAAACACAAGAGGAAGTCCTAGAAAATTCTACAACAATGGAAGCAAATAGGTTCGCAATTTTCTACGCATACCTGGGAAATCCTACAACTCCCTTTTACAACAAACCCCGGGTCCGGAAAGGTAAAAAAGTAAGGTCTGAGTCTAAGTCTAAGGCTAAGGCTATGGCTAAGGCTAGGCAAGGCTAAGGCTAAGGCTTAAGGCTAAGGCTAACATAGAGCAAGGCTAGCGCTAAGGTTCTATCCCTTGGGGGTCGGCGGCTGCAGGCGGTAGCCTGGTAAATAATTAGTTTATGCTGTATATGTATGTAGTATAATATATATATATATTACATATTATATGTAAAAGAGAAGAGAGAGACAAACAGAGAGAGAGAGAGAGAGCCCGAAACAGTAAACTCAGTAATTAGTTGAGACAAATTCAGCCATGCTTATTGTTTCTACTAGCTTCTTGTTCCTATTAGTAAGGATAGTAAGGCACTTGTTACTAGTAGCGATGCACTTGTTCCTAGTAGCGAACATTGTTCCATGCCTTCAGCGAATGATTCGGTTTGCCACGTAGGAGCGCCGCTCCATCCATCGAAACGTGTTAGGTCCTGGCCAAGTGTTTCTAATGGCAAACATTGTTCCTACTAGTAAGGCACCTGTTACTACTAGCGTGGCACTTGTTTCTAATAGCTTCTTGTTGAAAACATATTGAATTACTGAATACAACTGAAAATTAGATGCAGGCATCTTGAATCTTGGTCAATGCATGTCCATCACTACAAGAGCTTGGGACATCAGGTAGTCTACCTCTACGCTGATGATATGCCGCATGCGACACTGTGAGTACCAGTCGAAGTCGCTGCATCTTAGATGTCCCACAAGACTTGCTGCAAACACACTCCGCCCCCAAAAGGGAACAGAGCTCCTTCTCGTAAAACGTGTGGTCCAGGGCGGGCCTCGAGAGAGCCTGCTTCATCCGCCCTACAATCCACATGTGACTTGCTGACTTGCTATCATACTCTGAATGGGAGCAAGACTGTCGTCTGGCCATCCATGCCTCCATCAACATCTGTGCGTTTGGTATATCTGATGTCTTTGTTGCACGATTCTTTGGCGAAGGATTCAGGATCAGTTCCAGAAAAACATTCTTGAGCACACATGTGTTAACACCTGGATATGTCGAAGGCAACCAAAGGCCGGTGCAAGTCAGGGGGCCCGTCAGGTGATGCTTCAAAAAACGCGCCTGCATACTGGGTTCCCATATCGAAGGTCCCCACATCAAAGGAGGTGATGACATGCTTCCTGCGAAGAAACAAACACAGAGGATCGGATACTGAAAACAATAAAAGCGAGAGGGACAACATGAAGGCGTTAGGGCCCCATGAAGCCCACTATTTTTATTGTTTTCAGTATCACGCAGAATCCGCATGAACTGAAGTCTTTGAACATTTCCTTGATGATACACTGGTGCAGGAGGGCAATAGACCTTGGTCGCATGCAGTCGTTTCCCAAAGCAACTTGTGCAGGCACAATTCCAAAATTGGCCAAATAGATTAAAGGATTGAAGGCACATGGGCACATCATGCAAAGTTGATCTACTGACTGAAGATGCAAAGTCTTGTGCGTCTTGAATGCGCAACAACCAACATTGTGCAGTCAAGCCGAGAACAATGCGCAAAACCAAAAGCAAGAGGCAAGCAAAGGCAAAGCCATGCTGAAACGATTTCACAAATGTCTTGCTGTCTTGGCCTTCAAATTACTCACAGCATTGACCGAGTATTGCTTGAAGTCTAGTGCTTCCAATTGAACAAGACCAAAAAATACCAAAAATAGACAACACATGACAACACTAAATGTCCACAAATGTTCCTCTCACTGCCAAGGCACCCCCCAAGTTTGGGAATCATATGCATATTGCTGATGACTCCGACTCGCCGGCACTGAGTGCATCCTGTGGATCATCCGCTCGTCCTGCAAGTCTGGTCTTTTGTCCAAAATCTGCTGAAAACAAGTCTGTACCCTGAACTGCAAGGGTCTCGATACAGTAAGCATTTTCTATTAGTTAGAGCACTGTCCATCCATGGTTGCTCCCTGACCGGAAGCGGCTCTTATGGGGCTCGTAACCGGGTGCGGGTCATTCAGATTGAATGGCAGCAACCCAGTCCACGACTGCAAAGTTCCTTTACAAAGTTCCTTTAAATCGGCTCTTGCGAAGCACGTGAAACAAAAGTCTCAACATTCCTCAAGTAAAACAAAGGAACGAACGGCACAAAGCACTATCGAATCGTGCAAATTGATATTGGTAGACGACCTGAAGCTGCTGTCTCTGGTCTGCTGGGTGCCCACACCCTCGGCTTGCGGGATGCATTCTGGCGGCCTGCCGCCTAGACAAATATTGGCTACGAAGAGCAGCTTACGCAACCTTCTGCAAATCGATATGACATAGATGAGGGTTTGGCTATTGCTCACATATAATATATATATATATATAATATACATACAATGTTCCTGCATTGACCACCGGATTGAGCCCTAGCAATGCTGTTCCGTGCTGCTCTTTTCTCTCTGCAAGGATCTTCTCTTGGTGTTTCGGTGTGACCGGTGTGGCATGGTAGCAGTTGCCTGCGACTGCCCAAAACAGTGGGAGGCTCTCCAACCATCATGTGCCTGTCAGCCTTTGTGCTTTGTACTTTATGCTTCACACCAGCCCTTTTTCAACAGCTCGCGAATGTCGATCTGATCCTCATCACATTTAGCAAACAAGCCTACTCCAAACAGGTGGGCTTTGGGTTCAGCTTGCTTAACAATTTGAGTGGAATAGCTTATCCTCAGAAGCTCAAACATAATTATATACGACTACAGAGACTACAGTGCATATATCATATATGCATATGTACACATGTGTATATATATATATTCAATTGTGGACCTGAGCGATTTATTCACGTAATATGGGCGTTCCTTTTCCTTTGGGCATACAAAACTCTAATTGATGACGCCGCGGCAGGTCAACAATGTTTACTAACATGGCTGCTTGTGAGTGCCATCAGCAAAAACACGACGAGAGAGTTGTCGTGTTGGGGTGATTGAGGAGCAGAAGCTGCAAAGCAACAAACAAAAAATAAAATATACTAAAATATAATATATTGACGTTCCTTGAGGGAAGGAGTGAGTAGGTAGAACTCTCTAATATTCCAAACTAAGATCAACATATATAAATTTGGAATCTCGTGAGCCCGTGTCAGAGTTCGTCCTGGAGCCTCAGTTTCTCCGGCAGTTAGTTTTGATGCCCAAACACTGCATGAATGGAAATTAACAAAGGACAAACAGGGGATCTAGTCCCGACAAATACAAAGTTCCAGTTGGAACTTATGCAAAGCTTCCAAGGGCCTGCGGCCTGCCTTCTTTGCGTCCTCCAGCATGTAGTGGAATCGAGCTAGGGCTTTATTGTAAAGTTCTCTGTCACCTGGCAGCTGAATCTTGTGCAAAGGCCTATGGACTCCAGAATCTTGGAGTAAACAACGGCAGTTGTTTTGGTTTGCTTTGGCCTCGTACGTCTAGTGATCATGGCTCGATTGAGCACTTGTGAAATCTCTATGTACATGCACAGTTACAAAATATGAAACTATACACACAAGTGCAGAACTCGTCCACTGTAGATCTCGTTCGTTGGCACACAACATTACACGACTTTCTCAGGACCGTCTGGTGCATTCGTCCAACTTCCCCATGCGCCTTTCACCAATAGGTCAAGCCTTGTCACGCTTCAAACAATTCATCACCAAACAAATTCTCACAAAAAACTCTTGCAAATCGATATCCTGTCCCACTTGACTAGAATACTTGCTGAAAAACAGGTTAGAGACGCTGGATGCAAGTTCAAACTAGTTCACGTGAATCATCAAACTGCACACACTGACATATCATGGATTTGTGCCTCCGGTGGAGGCGCTGCTTCATCCTCCGTCGCGTCTCTTTTTGAGTTCCCAATTCAATAATGTGCTCCAAAGTGTGCTGCAGAAGCTCCTGATGCAAGACATTGCATTCCTAGCAAGCTGACTCTTTGCGTTTTGTACATGAGGAGTGTACGCATGCTTCCCGTTGCACTAAAAAACTGAGCGTAGACCACCAATCTGCATTGTGCAAACGTATACCAATGCCGCCGCTAGAACTCTATACCACGTCTTGCAAAGCCAGTCTCTCCTCCAGTACTCTATGTAGCACACACGCCAGCAGTCTAAATGAATAAAGGACTTGTTGAAGCAGTCCTTTCCCAGCCGTTAGTAGTGTAAGCTGGGACGCAATATTAAGGAATCCCCTTGTTAGTTTGGCTCAACTTCTTCCTGCAATACTAAGCGCCTTTCAAGCTTTCTGGCCAATTCTTCAAAAGAACATTTTTGGGTACCCCCCCAAAAACCCAAGTATAAAACGCTGTCCATCTGTCTCCTACTTTTTGTCCTTCCTTTACCCCCATTAATTTCTAGTTTCACCAATCCCTCATCCCATAGTCATATTGCCCATTTACATCAATTTACCATTCCCACCCTTCCGAAACCTCCATTACTCTTGGACCACATTATTGGATTGGTTGCACATAATTTGTGGGTCTCCGACCTTCTAGACGACCTGCTGAGAGGGAGGTTTATGAACTATGAATCGACATTATGTCCCTCAGAATACTGTCCACGATCACAATTGAGTAAATTCTGAAAAAATGCTTTCTGGTATGAAGAAAGATGTCAGCAAAACTTATTGCTCGTCCACACGGAATTAACAACTGCCCAGTCCTGCCAATGCGTCAATGCGCAGCTATCACTCAACAGTTGCTTTGCATATGAATATGTGTAGATACATGATACATAATGAAACATAAACATACGTACAAATTGTATATATGCATGCCAAGTGTCGTGCGAACCTGACGAACCTCTTCTTCATTCCTTCCCTTGATAATTTTGAGTCAATTTCACATGGTGGGTTCACTAGCCCCTACAATGTCTGGTGTTTAAAAAGCATGCTAGGGCAAAGGTAATTAAAGTAAAATAGTCATACTGGGACTTGGACCCCCATCCACGAACACTGCACATTAGGCAAGTTGTCGGTGACACACATCAACCAGTTCTGCCGAAGTCCCATGAGTGCCTCAATATCCTTGTTCATCTCCTTGTCTATTTCCGTGTCCATGGCCGGCTGGCCGGCCAAGATTCACTGCTTGGCCTGTGGAACTCAGGGATGTCGCAAGAAAAAGTGCTGAGCTCTTGCCTGCTCTTACCCCAAGTTTAGGCATTCGAAAAGAAATTGACACCACAAAGGCATGGATGTGCTGTGCCTGAACCTGTGCCTTCGACCAGGCCTTTTAAACCATCGTGGACACGTCATGGACCACGGTTTGCACTATGTGACTTTGACGCTCATTTGGGAGACTCCGCGAGCTACCGTTCGCACTACTTGTACTTCGGCATAAATATATAAATCTGCAATCAAAGCATCCCCACAAAACTTGCAAGTTGTTTTATTTGAGGACATGTCCAGAACATCAAGAACGTAACTGCAAACTTACCAGAGTCCTCCTCATCCTGTTTGACGTAAGAATGATGATGCGGGCGCACGGACTCTGTATTGTGGGGACACAAAGGGTCTCCCACTCCGACCACGCCTGTGCTTCTAACGCTTTCCAATGTTTTACAACATGGTTCGAACAGGGCTATTGATGACATTTTGGGATATGTATATATATATATACACATAATATATATATATACTTATATATATATGATCGAGGGTCCTTTAGGTATCATTTCGTAAAAAGAAACAAACACAAATGATTTAATGTTCAATTCAATTATTTATTGCAAAAAGCAGTTGTAAATTAAAACATGGAAAGATTTTGATGTTTTACTTTTTTTTTAAAAAGATTTATTTAATTTATTCAATTTTTCAAATTGTAACCTAAATATATTTAAAAATTAAGATTTCTTTTTGTTTGTGGATTTGGCTATTTAAAAAACTAAATAAATTAAATAAATTAAATAAATTAAATCGACGTGCATTTATTTTTTTAATTTATTTATTTTTTTTAATTTACAAAAGGCTTTTGTAAATTAAAAAATAAATAGATTTTGATTTATTATTATTATTTTCTTAATTTACAAAAGGCTTTTGTAAATTAAAAATTGAATAGATTTTGATTTATTTGTTTTAATTTTATTTATTTTTTTTAATTTACAAAAGGCATTTGTAAATTAAAAAAATAAATCGATTTTGATATTTTTTTAATTTTATTTATTTTTTAAATTTATTTAGTTTTTTAAATTGCCGGATGCCACTGAGTCACTCTATTAAATAGAATTTTATTTTTATTTTTAATTTACAAAAGGCTTTTGTAAATTAAAAATGTAAAGTAAAAAAATACATAGATTTTGATTTATTATTATTATTTATTTAATTAAATTTTTTAAAGTGTAAATTAAATATATTTAGAAATTAATAGATTTCTTTTTGTTTGTGGATATGGCTATTTAAGAAATTAAAAAAAAATAAATAAATTAAATAAATTAAATCGACGTGTATTTATTTTTTTAATTTATTGATTTTTTTTAATTTACAAAAGGCTTTTGTAAATTAAAAAAATAAATAGATTTTGCTTTATTTTTTAATTCTATTTATTGCTTTTTAATTTACAAAAGGCTTTTGTAAATTAAAAATTGAATAGATTTTGATTTATTTTTTTGAATTTTATTTATTTTTTTTTAATTTACAAAAGGCATTTGTAAATTAGAAAATAAATCGATTTTGATTTATTTTTTGAATTTTATTTATTTTTTTTGATGTATTTAATTTTTTAAATAGCCGGATGCCACTGAGTCACTCTATTAAC